CAGTGAAGCCATCTAGTCCTGGGGTTTTCTTTGTTGGGAGACTTTTTATTACTGCTTCAATCTCATTACTTGCTATTGGTCTGTTTAGGTTTTTCTAGTACTTCATGATTCAATCTTGGTAAGTTGTACATGTGCAGGAATTTATCCATTTCTTCTAGGTTTTCCAGTTCGTTCACATATAGTTGTTTGTAGTAGTGCTCACTTAATCTATGTAAAAGCAGGGGTCNGCCAATCCCTGGTATAAAACAAAAGGAAACAGGCTCTAGTAAGTCTGTTTCTGCTCTGACTGAACAATAATCATGGACTTTGTGACAAAGGGGCACAGGTTTCAGAGTGGCACAGAGGTAGATTTGGGCTCCGAAGCAGGAAATTAGTAGGTGGGAGCAACTGGGGCTCACTTTTCATCAGAAAAATGCATGTAACCACTATCTAATAGGCTGTTAGAGGAATTAAACGAACAGTATGTGTGAGGTATCCAGCTCAAGGTCTGGCATATTATAGGCATTCATATATTTGCTGTTCCTGGCCACATGGAATTTATTAGTCTAATGGCCTCATGGTTAAAAGTGAGAAATTTAGTGACAACCTCAGTAACAATAAAGAGTACCATATTAGAAGTAGAATATTAAATTGTAAACCTAATTTGTCTCTAGGTCTTTTGTAGCATATGTATTTCACAACATTTCCCATTAATTTATAATAAAATCAATGTATAATAGGGCATCATTTCATGGATGCTTTAAAAAGTTTATTCTGCTTTTGCAAATGACTAGTTTAGTTTCCTAAGTGAAAAGAGAGAGAAAACATAGTAGGAGATACTAGAGATGGCATTTCTTTCCCTTTTCCATTTGTGCCTCACCCTAACCAGTCCTGGGTCACTCTTAGTATTTATTTCTATTGTCTAGGTATAAATATGTAATGCATATTACCAAAATCCAACTGGTCTACATCTCCAGCCAGCAAACTTTCTTGGTAAAAGTCCAGTATACATATTTTGGGTATTAGAGGCCGTATAGTCTCTGTTGCAACTACTTAACTCTATCATCATAGTGTGAAACCAGCCATGGACAATATGTAAGCAAATATGTGTCTCTTTATTTATGGACACTAAAATGTGAATTTCATGTAATTTTCATGATATATTCTTTTGATTTTTTTCAATGTTTAAAAATATGAAAACCATTTTTAGCTTGTAGAATATACAAAACCAGGTAGTGGGCCAGATCTGACCCATGGGCCATAGTTTGCTGACCATATTCATCAAGCATTTTAGTACAAAACTAGTGCTTTAAAATAAGGGTTGGCCAGTTAGCTCAGCTGGTTAGAGCATGGTGTTATAATGACAAGGTCAAAGGTTCAGATCCCCATCCTGGCCAACTGCCAAAAAACCCCTCCACAAACCCCCCCAAAACCCCTGCTTGCTAAACTCTTTATGAATTAATATGTTTAAAAATATATATATAAAATATATAAAAGACAAATACCATAAAGGTGTCAGGTCTGCTCCACTAACAAGAGGTTATGCTTTGTCATTGGTGAGCATGGCCTTTTAAAGAGCCCATTTTTTACTGATTTATAGCACATAAAAGCAAAGTGGAAATACCCATTAATCCTCTTGAAGTTGTATTTTCAATTCCTAGTCAGCATAATTCAAGGGAGGAACTTAAATAGAGAATGTGTATACCAATTACTTTAAGCACTGAAAATTTAGTCTTCGAATAGTATACATCAACATATGTAGGGCTAAAAATTGGGTTCAATATGGTTTTTAAGAGATATTACTCATGACCTAAACATAATCTTTTGGAGAGATTAGAGAAGAATAATCTGTAAGCCTCAGATTCCAATAGCATTTACTGAGCACCTTTTCTGTTCCAGTACTTTCACATTCAATAAGCTCTAGGCAATGACAATGGCAGGGATAAGGAAAATGGTGTAGGAAGTGAAGTGACCCATCCAAGCCCCAAAGCTAAGGAAGTGGAGGAGGGAAGCAGAGCCAGGCTTCCTGACTCCTGGTCCAGTTCTCTTCTTAGGACATCATGATCTATCCTTCTCTAAGGTTTCATGAGCCAACTCTGCTCAGGGAAAGAATCATACCATAGCCTGTGAAGTCTGCATCTGTTGAATGGTATGATGAAGTTGGTGCTAATGGTATCTCTTGTGAACTGAAGGAGACTTTTGCCGAATATTTTTGCTGTTTCATCTGGCTGACGGCCTATAAAAGGAAGGAAAATTAGATGAATTTCAAGATGGAGAAAGGATACCAAAACAATGGTGCATTCCAATAATGTTTTCTGAATGTATAGGATGGAAGAGGTGGCAAGAGGAAGTTAGGATGATTTTTGCCCCATTCCTCATGATTCCCTATTTAACTTTACATCTAAAATGCTTTGGTAGTCAAGGGTTAAGATCCCCATACCAGCCAGCTGCCAAAAAAAAAAAACCTTGCTTTGGTGGAGGAGATGATTTTTGCCCCATTCCTCATGATTCCCTATTTAACTTTACATCTAAAATGCTTTGGTAGTTAAGGGTTAAGATCCCCATACCAGCCAGCTGCCAAAAAAAAAAAACCTTGCTTTGGTGGAGGATGGATCAAGGAAGGGAGGAAGGATAGAAGCTGAAGATAGTCCATCACTGTGATCTGTATATGAAGCCGGGGGTAGTAAGCAGAACAAAAATTTTTGCGATTTCTATTCATTCTGATGAAATCACCACGAACTCCACATATCTGTGCTGTGTCCATTGAAAAACAATCTGTAGTGTAGATGTTCATACAACATTGTCCATCTCTTTTGTACATACTCGCAATAGTCAAAAATGCACAAGGCCGGTTAATTGAGCAACATGAGGGGAAGGACCTGCCTTCTGGATCTGTAGTTAGCCAGGGAACCCACCTCCAGCTGGAAGATTCTGGTGGATGCAATGAGGCACCAGGCTGTCCCTGGAGTGTAGAAATAGGACCAAGGTAACTGCTCCAAAACCGTAACACCTCAAGATTGTATCAGTGAAAGGCTGTGCCTCAATACAAGGCATTGTGCAGTATGTAACAACTAAAACAATACCACCATTGTATATTTGTATTGTGCTTTCTAGTTTTCAAAATACTTTTACAAAAAAAATAAAAAGAAGAGTGCAGCATTGTGACACAAAGGTCATGGGTTTGGATCCCCGGACTGGCCAGCCACCAAAAAATAAATTAAATAAATAAAACCACTTTTATATCCATGAATTCATTCAATCATGAGAACAACCCTGAGAGTTAGACAATATTACTCTCTTGAAGATAAACCAAGACACAGTGTCAAGTGACATATCTGAAATCATACAGCTAATTAGAGGAAGAGGTAGGGTCCAAAGTCAGTAGCTGAAGAATGCTACAAGTTCAAAGAGTTTATCAAACAGCTGCTAGGCAATGATTAATTTTTTTCTGTACTTCTCTATCAACATCATTTAATACTACTGTATACTTACTTAAAAAGACATATTTAAGTACATATTTAGGGATTTTAGAAAGAAAGAAGTGGGAAAAAAGACAAGGGGTTACTACCTGAAAACTGCACACTGGAATGGTATAGGTATCTAATTACTCTAAGGACCACACTTCCCAGCCACCATGAAGCTAGGTGTGCCCATAGACTAAATTCTGGTCAATGGGACATAAACAGAAGTGAATGTACAATTTCCATGTTCTCTTAAGGAGAAAGATCCCACCTTTCCCTTCTCCCTAGCTGGAATGCAGATATGTTGGTGATATCTGTAGCAGCCATCTTAAACCCAAAAGTGATGCCATGATTTGAGGATGGTCAAGTAATCAGGTAAGAGGTGCTTGGGTCAGTGACATGGCAGAGACACCATATCATCTCCAAACTGACTACATCCAGTCTGTTATGTAAAAGAGAAACTTCTTGTAGTAACTGAGCCTGCATCTCAACTCATACATTACCTACATCCAACTTTCATTTTGTATCACCTCAAGAAAGTACGTGCATTCCCAACAAAGCTGACTTTTATGAAAAATGATGTGAATTTTAAAACAGGAAAACACAAGAGAGAGGGGTCACCAGATTATGACTTTTATAATAGCCGTGAAGGGCTGTTGCTCATTTCTATGTTCCAGTTCCACGGCACATCTGGTGCATAATAGGTGACCAAGCAATATTGGTGGAATTGAATTCAATTTAGAAACAAGGAAGTAGTCCACAGAAATCAAGCAAAAGGTCCAAACATTATATGTAGAGGCAGACCTCTTGTTGTTGGTAGGTATGGTGATGGATAGACGTGTGCTCCCATGACTCATCCATTGGCACAACACCAAACCATTAAGTACAAAAGATCAGAAAGAATGAACTTGCTGTTGTACGTTACTATGTTAGATGATGAGAGTTGGGATGGACTTTATAGATCACCCGACCCAACTAAACCAGAACACCTAGGGAGCTTTTAAAAATTATGGAAGATGGGACCCCCATCCCAGACCAAACAAATTAGAGGTGTAGAGTGTAGACAAGTTTTTTTTTTTTT